CCCCACCCCCCAACCCCCCCAAAAACATTTAAGAATATATCAATTTTTCTTTAAAAAACATTTTTAAAACAATGGCAATCTGCTTTTTTGTTTCATATATGATTCTTGCAATGCAGCTGTAATGTACTATTATGATTTTAGAAAATAAGGACCTGTTTTAAATTTCTTAGGCTAAATAGGTTCTTGTTTATAGGGGGTATAAATGACTAATTTTAGGCTAACAGGTTCTTAATTTTTAGGTTCTTAGTTGCGGGTTTTTACTGTATGTAAAGCATTCGAAGAAAAATACATCTTATTGTCTCGTTTAGCCGACGCGAACTGGAAACTTATCCTCAAAGAAGTCGCCTAGCTTGATTTTTGTCTACTATCTTTATAAAACTTGCCCCTTTGATAGAAAAAAAACAAACAAACAAACAAACAAAAAAACAAACAAAAAATTTAAAATAATTGTCAAGAAAAATTGACGAAATCTATGGATCCAGGGAAAAGGGCTACTTGGCGAGATTGTCTGAGCTCTAAAACAATGAATTGAAGTTTTTTTTCTTTTTTCATCTCTGAATTCAGCATATCGAATAATATTTTTGTACAGTTGTAATGTTCGCGTAAATGATGGTGGGAATCCCCAGTAATATTTGAATTTGGCAACCCTAAGTAAGTTTCATCACTTAATTTTCAGGAAACACAAATCGAAAGTCGTTAGTTATCTTCCTGTGCGCCTATTCCTTGCAAAGAACTACTGCTAGTACTCAGCTGCTTTAGTTCATTTAGACAAATATTTTTAAACAAATAATAAAAATAGAGCATAATAGGTCTGGATTAAAAAAAGCTGACTGGAATGAGGTAACAACTTATTGGCCATTTGCAAGCGTAGCCGAGATTTAAAATAATAAAATTAACATAGCTCCCCATTGAACGAGAATTGCTCGGCCAAAATGGAACAAGTCTGACACGAAGTAGGCCACATTAACTCTCGTACCCGTGAGCTCAGTGGAAAGTGATATAAATAAGATAGAATCACAAGAAGCACTTATTAAAAATACACACAAACAAACAAATATACAGTTGCTTTTATCGGACAAGCCCGGAAACTTATTAATCAGGTATTTTGTGTTTGCTGTATTACATTCAAGATCAAAGTTTCAAAAATTTTGACAATGGTACGGTGAAACTATTAGTTAACAAAGCACAATTGATTAGTTTGTGAGCTAGAAACTGCTATTGTTCAACAAGTTTTTCCTTCGGGCCCAAAAACTTTCCGGGCTTTTCGAGAAATGGGCCCCAGGTTGTTCAAACGCTAAATTAAGTGTTATCCACCGGATAAATTGCAGTTCAATTTTTATATACTTAGTGCGGGAACCAATTACGTTTTTTTCCCATGACAGAGATTCATTCCACAACTAATAGCGTTATCTACTTTTTGAACATCGGAGGCCAGGTTGTTGAAATACCTTTCAGTAAGCTCGTAAAAACCATAAACATCGTGATTTCAAATTTGTCAGATCCTTTTAACTTCTAATTTTTCATTAAATTACAGACGTCAGGACCTGTCCAATGACTCTTTGGAGGGCTGGAGTAATTCTTCTTTTCGTTGCTTATTCGGGTAAGTGAAATGACTGTATAAATTATTTTTAAAAATAAGAGCCTGAGTAGCCTAATTTTCCAGTTAGCACCATTTTTATAAGAATCTTCTTCGCTTAAAACTTAGGCTCTTATACTCAGGTGTTTACTGTAGTTTGTTCATTTTTGGCTAACGAGCCAATTTCTGTTTGGAAAGTTAAGCCGTTATCAATATCGGTATTCTTCCCATCCCCTCCGTCGTCTTCTTCTCAACATTATCATTGTTATTGTTATATTGTTAACCATTATTTTTAATATTTATTATGTTTATCATGTCAGTACAAACATCTGGATGCCCAGAGTAAAAAATAAAAGCTTTGGCTGGGCTCAAACCGTAACCAGCCGCAGCATCGACTAAAATTTGTGGTAACAATTACACAATAATTTGCGCAAAGAAAAAAAAACCTGGGTAAAAATGACCTGATAAGAGTAAATAAAATAAATAAATAAAATCGTAAAGGCTTTATGGACGTCATAATTACAAAATAAAAATGTTCGTAAGTTGAAAACCATCGTTCATATAGCTGTGCATTTAATTATGGGAAAGTCTAAGGTATGTAAGTAAAATTTCTATAATGTACAAGATTCGATAATGTACACGTTTATGGGTACAGCACGTTAGAATGCTTGTGAATGATATGCGCAAGGTTGGGTAAAGCTGGATTATAAGTAACGACGAAAGGGGTGGTTTCAGTCTGAGTCTTGGGTTTGTTAGTAGGTGCGTCAGTGCGAAGAATGTCGGAAGCTCGTTGTATTTGGATCTTAAGAAAGATTTTGTTGTAGCCGCGTTTAGCAGGGTAATCTATAAGTTCGTTAGTACGAAGTTTGTAATTGTCTGGGTTAGAGCAAATGCGACGGGAGGCGAAGTGCAAGGCTAAAAGGATTAGCGCATTTGGTATGTTGAGGGTGGCATGATAAAGTTTGGCTCCATAAAAACAAATCTTTATACTAACCTACTGACAAACAGCATTATTTACCAGTTTTATCCTGCCACCCTCCGACTGAAACCATCCCTTTCGTCATTACTTATAATCCAGTATTACCCAACCTTATGCATATCATTCACAAGCATTCTAACGTGCTGTACTCATCAGATCGTTGTAGAAATGTTTTTAAAAACCTTCCGTTAGTAGCTTATTGCCGTTGTAAAAATATTAGCGACATCCTCGTTAGAGCCCAGCTTACTGACAGCACCGACACCAGTAACTCCCCACCCAGCCCCGGTTCCTTTCGTTGCGACAACAGGAATTGGACCACCTGTCCCTATACTGAACATGGCCGTATAAATCAATACACTTTTCATTCTACAGATGAGACCCACCACATCAAATCCCCTATCACTTGTGAAACTTTTAATGTTATCTATTTGATTCAATGTCGCCTGTGTAATCTATATTAGTATATACGTTTATAATTCAAGCAATCTGATTGGTTGGCTATCTCGGACTATGACGTTACATTCAGCCCAGAATATCCATAAAGCTAAGACAATTGAGCCTCTGGGCATCAATAAACGTGATGAACTTTAACTACATATAGGGTGTGTTCCTTTCGGTGAATCCAAAATCGGATTTTAGATCTAAGAACGGATTTCGCGTTCCTTTCGGCAAATCCAAATCCGGATTTTTGATCTGGTGAATCCTTTTTGAAAAAGGATTCATTGGATTTGAAATCCGAAGAATCCAAATCCAGGTTAACGGATTAGTGATCTACGCTGTTCCATTCACAGTGGATCCGAAATTAGTCAGATGATCCAGCGGTATTTCCAGTTGAAGTATTCCCATAGAGGCCGTAGAGTTTCCTCGTTGCTGTCATTTGCCGCAAAACATCTCAAAAAACATTAGAAGATTGTTCCTGGTACTTTAAAGTATCCATATACTAACCATTTGTCTCTAAAGATTGCTTGAAATCAGAAATAAGTAGTAACAAATGAACTGCTATCTAACTACAAACTCGCTTGTAGACGCGACAGGCACTCGATCGTGTTACATAAAAAAATCCGAGCTATAGGACTGGATCAAACTGGCCGACATTCTTTAGATAATTTTCAATTTTAATGTGCTTCTTTCTTTGTCTGTTTTGTATGTTTCATCGTCGCTATTCGAACTGCCGACCGCTAAATTCTGCACGGTTATCGCATAATTTGTCAAACAGTAGAAAACAAGTCATTTTTTGAGAGGCTGTCGTTCATAATTGCACGCGTTGGCGAAAGGTTACCAAGGTTACAAATCCAATTTCGGATTTCACGTTCCTTTCGACCGCGAAATCTGGTAAATCTAGGATCAAAAATCCGTTTTTGAATTCGCCGAAAGGAACACACCCATAGTATATCTTTTATTTATTTATTTATTTTTTGTTATCTTGTCTTTTAAAGTCATAGTTAATTGAGTGGAATGGTTATGAAACCCGTCAGACTCCTTTGTTATATGTTTTTGTGGACCTGAAAGTGCACAACGTTCAAAAGAATTCCTATCATTTTGATTGTATTGACCAATAAAAACGTTGCATTAATTTATTCCGTAACAATTTGCCAACAGAAAACAAAGGATTGTGCACTTTCAGGGTGCTTCCAACATAAACTGCAGCACTGTTGTTTTTATCATTGATGTTTGCCGCTTTTCATAACCAGTCTCCTATAATAACTATGTTTAAAGTATAGCCACACCATACCACGTCATATTATGTAATTTACGGTCATTATTTTACTTCATATATATTTCTGTAAATTCGTGATATCTCAATAAACTTGATGAAGACTGTTATTGGCCAGTCGAAATATCGCAACTAAACTCTATTTCACGTTGTTTGATCAGTCACGCCGGCAAAAGTCCTCTTGACTGTAACGCTTTCAATTTGATCTATTTTAGCTAATCACGATCTTTTTGGATCCGACGTTGAGCAAGATTGATCGTACACGGTTTTTGCAGTGTTTTTTTTTTTACCTTTATTAAACAACAAAACAGGGTTACGTCATCAATGTACGATAATACAGTACAAGAAGTACAACAACTAATTAAATAGATGAATTTATAGGTGCTGCTCAATTAAACTAACATTTATTTCCGATAAACCTCTTATCCGTCTCAAAGCCTTGACCGACAAAGGGAGCTACCAGAATTTATTATTATTATTATTATTATTATTATTATTATTATTATTATTATTGTTATTATTAGGTTAAATACGAAGTGATATGACAATCGCAAACATCCCAGTATAATATGAATGGTTACAGTCTGGGTTAAATAATACTTTAGTTGGTGGTTAATTGGTGTTGGAAATATATAACACCTCTGACTTATCCTTCGATCCGGGAGCCCAATGAACTCATTATTTTCTCTTTTCTCTCTTCGTTAGCTGCGGTAACAAAGCCGAATTGCAATCCTTCCTTGGATATCGCCGTTGTCATTGATGAGACCAGAAGTGTATCATTGTCTGACTTAATTATCGTTCTGGATGCTGCTAAGGAAATGACTGAATTATTCTTCAGGAGAGTTGAGGACATCCGTTTCTCGATAGTTTCATTTGCTAAAGAAGCAGCTATTCGAGTCAGGTTCAGTGACCCTCAGGACAAGGAAAGCTTAAAAAGGAAATTTGTAGAGATGACGAGTGACACGCGAACCAAACCAACACGAGTGGATAAGGCTCTGGAAAAAGTAAATGAAGCTTTCAGCGATCCTGGAAACCGAGTGGATTCACCTGATGTTATGATTATTTTTACCGACGGAAAAACCCATGGTCATGAAACCCAACTCCAAAGGGAGAACGCAAATCTAATGGTGAGAACGAACAGGATAAAAAATTTCCTGGCCGCCTTGATGTCTCCTAGGGGATGGTACTCCAATAAATTTTCGGATAGGTGTGTGCCGCCCAAGATCTTAGCAAACCTGAAAAATGAGACCCAGTTGAAGGGAAAAACAAAAAGTAAAAATTTAATGAAAACACGCAAATCTTTCTGAAATGGCTTTCCTAATGCTCCAGGGTAAAGTACAGTTCTAACAGGTGATACATAATAACGGTACCCAATCTATGGATCACACCAGGAACTTAACGCCAACAAGGGCAAAAATAGTTAACCTATTTAAGGATGAAGACCCTCAAAAACCATACCCTTTCGGGCGGCACATATCTATCTAGCCCGTATATGCGATTACGCCTCCCTGGGTGTTGTCCCCACGTTATGAGATTCCTACAATGCTTGCATGATTGATATACATACACAGGTTGAAGATCTGTTGTCTAATTATCTCCACTGGATACAATTCGTACAGTCTATTAACCTGATTACGATCGAGAAATGTTATGGCTTTCTGACGTTCTGAAGGTACGACGGCGATGATGACCTGTGATGACTGAGGGATGTTGAGGTTGATCATTTTTCATAGGGTTATGAATTACTCAGGTAAATTAAGAAATGGAGCTAAATTTGCCTTAATTTGCTCTCTTCAAAAGTGAGGGAGTGGTCTATATCTAAGAGCTTCAGATGAAGAAATATAGAACTTTGCCGTGCTTTAAAATTATGCAAATTAGGTCACGTGACCTGCATCGGCTCAAAAAGCTTGTCCTTGAAACAGCAACACTTTTTCGTGTGTCCTCAATTATTTCACCACTTGGATAATGCCAAGGCCTTTTAATATATCACTTCTGTGTTTGGCCTTTTTTAGATATTTAAAATCAAAGGAGTTAAGATGGGATACAATTGCTTTGGGGGACTGGGTTTAGGCAAGGACGGCCACCTTAGATGAGAGTCACATCTACTTAGGGGGAGGGGAACTGTTTCCCTGACGCCCGCCCCCTAGGTACATTTTATATCAAACTCATTGCCCACAAATGAGGACATTTGCTCTTTAGTGATCATTACATGGAGTGTATGCTACAGGGCGTGCGCAAAGGTATTACGTTTCACCACTGACAAATAAACATGGGCGATCGACCGAAGCGAATGTCATGTCTTCCACGGCTTTTTGTGGAAGAATTCTGTCAGCTCTGCGAAAAAAAGATGGAGAAAGTGGAACGAAAGTGCAAAACAGACAGGGATTTGTATGTTGTTGAGGTTGTTGAAGTGGATACGACGCGAAACAGCTAAAAATTCATTTCGTGGGATTCAGTCGCCAATACGATGAGTAGCGTGATTACGATAATAAATGCAATTACTTTCCCTTCGTTCGCTTGGAAAAACTGTTTGTCCCCGGGGAAGGTTCGCTGGAGGATAGAGGCAACATTCACGGGCAATTGTATTGTTGCCTGATTCCTTCAATTTCTTCTCAATTATGTGTGCAAGAGCAGATTCTCTTGTCTCTTCTTCGGCCTTTGAAATGGTATAAACTGGAAAGCTGCGGGAATAAATAGAAGAAACGAGGAATTATTAAATATCCGAAAATTTAGAAATCGAACCGTTTGAAAATATTATTAAGCTCCTATTAAAATATTCATCGTCACTTCAAATTACTTACTTGTTAATCTCGTAAGTATACGAAGGACCGTTCTGCTGGCTGAATTTCTCACCATTTTCGCCTTGAAAATTATCTTCAACTGCAGAAACCGTCACGGTACAAGTGAGGAGAAGAAAGAGAGCAAGATGAACCTTCGAAGTCATTTTGCCCCACCGAAATCTGCACGAATCCCAACAAGTTACATATCAAAACGCTGCAAATTAATTCAACTCTTTGAATTTGGGTTGCATTTATTATTCTGAGCATGCTCTGTCAAGCCAGTCCAGTTTTCTCGACCCGCTGCTTTCAAGACCGGGCACGCTTTTGTAAATTTACATCCAAACCGACGAAAAAAATACCCCATCGAAATCTTAACAAAATGACCCAAGCTTGTCACCACTGGTAGCTTTGATAGCACTTAGTTCAATGCCGGTGGTGCATTTGTGATAGATTTCTCACTTTGAGAAGGAAAGGCAATATTCTGCAGAAAATAGCGTGTTTTCAGTCCTATTTTACCGGAAGTTGAGGCCACCTGATGTGACATAGGGCAAATGTCGCAATGAGTTTCATATGGAAAATCAAGATGGCCCCCATTAACGGCAAGACGCGCTATATCTCGGCGATCTCACAGGAAAATAGGGGAATGTGAACAGTCTAATAAAATAATTCGCAATTTTATTCAATTCTATTCTATTCTATATTTACTTTAGGGGCCACATAAACTAAAGCTTAATAGGCTCATCTTCAGTTTTTTTCAATTTGTATTAAGTAAGTTCTAAAAATTGAAATCAAGAGGAATGCAAAAGAAAACGTTGTGTAAATAATTAGTATCTCCAAAACACTTTAAATCAAATTTCCTCCTCGATCAATAATTATTTTAAGTACCTCTTAAATTACTAATTTGCAGCCTGTACAGCGTACTTTCACTTTTAACTCTATCTACAATGTGACTAAAGAATTGCGTCCGCTTTCTTTATGAGTCTGAAGACTGACTATTTTTGGATTTGACCCTTCACCCCCCCCCCCCTCATCTTTTACCACCACTACCTCCTTGACATTTCCAACGAAAAAATTATTGAATTATAGAGATGAAAAAAGAATAGTAATTAGACTAATCAATTACATGTTGTGTTTCAGTAATCTCATTTTAAATATGAGCTACAACATATCTAGCAAATTGAAACTAGTGTTTACTTTTTTTCTAGGCGAGGAATGTATACCGTGTGGCCATTGGACTTGGGACTGAGGTCGACCAAGCCCTTCTCCAAAGTATCAGTGACACTTTTCTTCTGATCAGTAGTTATTACGACCTAGCAGGGCGAATAAATGACATTTTGAAGGGTGTCTGCAGTAAGTATCGTCAACTACAGTATCAGCTTCCGGGAGGTGTAAAAAGTCCAAAAATGCTTGACGCTTGAATAGCTCTAGCTGACTAGCTGCAAGCTGTTCTTTTCTTTTCAGTGTTGTACAGAGAAAAAAAATTAGCAGTAATATCTATCATTCTCTCTTGTTGTGATACATAACATGAAAGCGGAATCGAAATTAAATTAAACTCTTCGGAATAAAAACGGTCTTAATAGTTTTTAATTAACACAAACCATTCCGAGAGACAAAAAAAAAGATTTGACCAATAACATCCAAGAACATTTTCAACAAAAACAGTTTATGACAGTCCAGTTGTCAGTTAGAGCAACAAGAATGTATAGACTTTGTATCTAGGAAGCCCGTTCTTGTTTATGTCCAAATTGTTAAATCCTGTCATAAAGAAAATTTGGCGATGCGGTTCTCTTTTTCGGTTAAATAGGCTACAGCGGATTTTGGACAATTTCTTTTCGTTGTTCCTTCAGTTCCCCCTGTACCAGGTGGCTATACTGAATGGTCTCAGTGGGAAAAATGTTCTGTCACCTGTGGTGGAGGAGTTCAGAGTCGTTACAGAACGTGTACCAGCCCCCCTCCATCTGATGGTGGACTAACCTGTATCGAACAAAACTTGGGACCAGCTGAGGAAATACGGCAATGTAACCAACAAAATTGTCGTAAGTGTTACTTTTGTCCTAGAGTAAAGGGTTCATGGTACAGGAAAATGGTTAAAATCGTTAGTGAGTGAACTCTTTTAACTGGGGAGGTCCTAAACGGTCTTATATAATGAAAAAATATATCGTATAGTAATAACCCACCACAGACCTGCCAGATGACCTGTAGCTTTCGATTACAGCCGATCAAATAAAACGCTTGGACGCGATCCAACACCATGGTAAATGAGTATAACGTTTGAAACAGTCATTGAGTACACAGTTAAGACGCAGTCTTCTACTGTGCCTTCCCCTCAGGGATTGGCCCCAATGGCTAGGACTTACCCAAGACAGTAAGCCCAAGGCTTACAACTTAACACCGACGGAAAGCCTCCTTGAAGGCAAGCCCACTATAGCTATAACAAGATAGGGCCAGGAACGCATCTGAAACCGGTTGCCTGTAAAACAATTCCGATCAATGTTCGATCAAATTTTAAAATCCAGTCAGAATCTGTAAATTTCTTCTATCAGAGTTAGTTCTAACTTTTAGTTTCTGGTGTGCACATCGTTATGTCAAGTTTTTCTTTTTTTTTTAGCTACACCAGGTGGTTACACTGAATGGTCTCATTGGGGGATGTGCAGTGTAACTTGTGGTGGAGGAGTTCACAGGCGTTACAGAACTTGTACCAGTCCCTCTCCTTCTGACGATGGACCAACCTGCATTGAACAAAACCTTGGACCCGCTGAGGAAACCCAAGAATGTAACACAGGCAATTGTCGTAAGTGTTACCATTTCTTGCGAAAGACGTTTTATATACATTTTACTGCAAAAAGTGTTTGAATTTCATAACCTTCTCTTTATCGCGTCGTATTGCAGATATAACAAAATGTTATACAATTCAAGCACAGAATTAAACGTCTTATCTATAAAACAAAAATCAGTTAGATTGTTCAGGATCAGTTCTGTACACTACCCTAGTATACACATCTTGACGCAGGTTGTACCTCTCCTTTTTAGCTATACCAGGCGGGTATTCTGAATGGTCTCAATGGGAACAATGCAATGTTACTTGTGGCGGAGGAATTCAAAGACGTTACAGAAGGTGTACAAATCCCCCTCCATCTGACGGTGGATCAACCTGCATCGAACAAGACTTGGGACCAGCTGAGGCAATACAGCAATGTAACCAACAAAATTGTCGTAAGTGTCGCTCTTGCCTTAAACGAAAGGTTTTGAATGCTTGACAACAAATATAACGGAGTGATTAAACCTTCCGCCCCACTAAACGACTGTCCTATCAGATGATCTGCAGTCTTCGAACCTAGCGAATCGAATCGAATACATGCACATGATCTAACACTACCATGGCCGAGTCAAGAGCAAACAATTAAAAACCATTGAGTACACAGTTAAGATATTGCCCTCTACTGAGGATTGGCCCCAATGGCCTGGACTTACCCTAGTTAGTGAGCCTAAGCTTTGTACTAAATTATACCCTACTGATTGAAATCAATAGGGAGAAGGGTAATGTTAGTGGTGATGGTAGAGGAGTGAAAATGTGATATCATGCTACTAATTTTAGTCTATGATGTCATACACTATACCTAGATTATGATCTCAACCTTTTTTGATGACGTAAACCTCTGGGTATTGTGACGTCACCTGCTCCTTGCCTACTGAAAATAAACTATGACATCACCCTATCTTAATGAGATACATGATGTCATCAGCGTCAATTTATGCCACTCAAAAAAATAATTAAATCCACGAAAAAAAAGGCCTAACCGGTTCCTCCCCCACTACTCTGGACTTACCCTAGTTAGTGAGCCTAAGGTTTGCACTTAACACTGAAGGCATCCTTGAAGGAAAGCCCCCTACAACAAAAATAGGGCCAGGAACCAGTCTGAAGCCTGTTTCTAGTGCAACAATTCTGGTAGTCAATTTTTGTTCACATTTTTTAGAATTGCTTAAATGTCACCTTAACATGGTATTTGAATCACATCAAATACATGTAATAATAACTCACCTTATCTTTAAAACAAAATTTGTGTCAATCTTGATTTCTATCGTAGTTGGTTCTAACTTTTTGTTTCTGGTTTGCACATTGTTATGTCAAGTTTTTCTTCCGTTTTAGCTACACCAGGTGGTTACACTGAATGGTCTCATTGGGGGATGTGCAGTGTAACTTGTGGTGGAGGAGTTCACAGACGTTACAGAACTTGTACCAGTCCTTCTCCTTCTGACGGTGGACCAACCTGCATTGAACAAAACCTTGGACCCACTGAGGAAACCCAAGAATGTAACACAGGCAATTGTCGTAAGTGTTACCATTTTTTTGCGAAGGACGCTTTATCATCACTTTACTGCAAAAAGTGTTTGAACTTCTTGCTTCTTCTTAATGTCTTATTGCCAGTATATATGCGTTATTGACCAAGTGTGAGGTCAAAGATTGCTAGATATTGGCCAAGTTCTCAATAAAATTGGTCAATAAGAACGCAAAAAAAGAACGAGACCAATATGCAGCCATCTTGACCAAACAAGCTTGGTTATTAACGGATTTTTTTACAGGACAAAAAAGATTTTTTTCTTGCAGGAGCAACGCGGAAAATCCCAAGCAGGCATGATGGACCCATCTTGCCCGCTCGTCGCTCGCGGATTCAGCCGTACAATAAATCATTATATTATAAGGTTCAAGCAAAGAATAAATCTCCTTACCTATAAAACCAAACTCCATTAGATTGTTCACAAGCAGTTCAGTACAACACTCTAGTAAACACATCGAAATGAAGGTTGTACCTCTCTGTTTTAGCTATACCAGGCGGTTATACTGAATGGTCCCAATGGGAACTATGCAATGTTACTTGTGGCGGAGGAATTCACAGACGTTACAGAACCTGTACAAATCCCCCTCCATTCGGTGGCGGGCCAAGTTGTATCGAGCAAAGCCTGGGTCCAGATGAGGAAGACCAAGAATGCAATAACCAGGATTGTCGTAAGTCTGCTGCCTTTGTTCAGTAAACAAATACAAACATTTATTTATGTATTAGGTTTTTGAGAATGCTCAATAGTTGGTCTCCAACAATCAAGGCTCATTGTAGTGGATGAACTGTTCCTTCACTTTAGCCGTACCTGGTGGTTATACTGAATGGACTGAATGGCAAGAGTGCAGTGTTACTTGCGGCAGTGGAATTCGCAGACGTTCAAGAAATTGTACCAATCCTAGTCCATCCGGTGGTGGAGCAACTTGCACTGGAGGAAACTTAGGTCCAGCTGAGGAAACTCAGGAATGCAACCTACCAGATTGTGGTATGCTATTGGGTCTATTATTAAAAAAAAAATAGATTTATACAGATTGGTTTTTTATTACTCATTCAGTAGTTACAAATTTAGTTCCTCAGATCAACCAATACTACAAACACATCAATTAATTTTGTTAGGCATAGATGGAAACTATACCAATTGGTCGGATTGGTCAAATTGCAGCAAAGACTGCGAAGGACTCCAGGGCAGGTATCGACTTTGTATTCGTCCAGCTCCCGATGGACTGGGCAAGAATTGCAGTGGTAACGGATCTGAAACAAAGATTTGCGGCAACACATGTCAAGATGGTAAGTTGACTTAAATATTAAGTCTGAGAAAAGCCATACAGTTAAACCTTGTTTTAAAATAAGGGTGCAAAACAGAAAGGTGATGATTAGTTCGTGGCCTATTTTGCGAGAGCCGGGATTCCTAGATTGATCCCTCAGGATTGTAAGCTTAATCAATGCAGTACTTTGCGCTTTTTTATTTGAGTATCAATGTATTTAGCACGAAAGTGCTAATTGGGGACACTATTTTTACGTCTCCTAATGGAGACGGGACCGCCATTTTACGTGGTCATCCGAGCCACCCAAAGGTCTAGCCGCTTGCAGTGCAAAGGAAGTACCTTCATTTCTCAGTCATTTTAAGACCCTGAGTAATGGTCCGGCCACGGGAATCGAACCCACGACCTCCCGCTCTGCAGTCAAACGCTCTACCGACTGAGCTAATCCTGCCACGGATAAGCGAGTTACCTACGCGAGTTACCGACGCGAAACAACTTTTTTTTATCTTAGCAGGGGTAAATATGAAACTGATCAATTTATGGTTCGGACCAACACTCAGGGTTTAAATAACTGAGAAGAAAGTGCTGCCTTTGTAGTCGCATCTGCAAACGGTTATACTTTCTAGTCTTCTCGAATAAGGACGAAAAACCGTAGGGCCCGCCTCATCTAGTTCTTGTGAGAGGTAAAAGAACCCACACCACTCTTCAGAAAGAGTAGGGGACGTAGACCCTGGTGGTGTGGTCAACCTTTCCTGGTCTGGGTGTGTTATCTGTAAGGAGAGATCTTTATACAGGATCCTTTAGGTGTAGTAATGGCTACCTGTAAAAAGATGTATGTACTTATGAAATGTCCACATTATCAGAAAGACCTTAGCAAAAGGTTAATCAATCCGAGTAATTTACCTTTGCTGTCAAATAATAACAACAACAACTTACATACAATAAAGGACCGACACATAACTATAATGTACCTAAAGTAAAAGATAGGAATGGAAAGTACAAGAAGTAGGGTTCGAAATGGGGCCCTAAGTCCCATGCATCCCTTGTAAAAATAACAAAATGAGCTACAGAAGGATAAAGGAATCTAACATAGCTCTAAGGACTGAGGGAAGAAGGTAAAATCTGTTGTTACCAATGATCACCAGAACTGTGATAGATACTCCATGCGCGAGGCTCATTGTTACTGGCGTTAAATACTATGGGTCAGTTATTTGAACGGTGTTTAGTCCATGTTTAGCAAAACCGCGTTCTAAGCCATTTTGAGTTTGCCGAACACTTTTATGTAAACACCATTTATCGTTAACAGTTTCATGAAAGCATATTGCGTAGACTTGAAAATCATTTGTCTTCTTAAAATCCTACTGAGAAGAGATATGGAGGTCCAAAGATTTCCTATACCGTGATCTAAGATATACTTTGTTTAAATAACCAACCAGCACATGACCTTGATCTGTCTAAAACGACGTTCGACTATAAATTTGGATTATAGCCCATATTACAGTTCCTAGTTCTGGACTGAAGCTACAGTGTTCTTTACCATGAAGCTAAGCCTATTTCAAGCGTTCATACAGTGTTCTTTACCATGAAACTAAGCCTATTTCAAGCGTTCAGACAGTGTTCTTTACCATGAAGCTAAGCCTATTTCAAGCGTTCAGATTGTGGCGCGGTTTTTCCTGTTCACTTCTCTTTGCGTCGTCCCCACCATCTGAAAACCTTAAACAATCTACTTAATGGGGCTGTGTCACGGCAGTCCAGTTCATTTTGTTGTATTTTGCCAATTACTCGCTCTCAATCGCTATGGAACTTAAAGTAGCAAAGAAATTACATGTAAATGACAAAATCAGAGATCCGAGACAAACAAATATGTCTCCTGAGCATTATTTTTGAAGTTGCAAGCAGCAGGGATCAAATTTGAAAAACTGTTACGCTGAACAGTTTTCGAAAACCCTAATTTCAATCCGTTTCAATATTCTTCAGTTTTGCCCATCAGTGGCATCTGTTGTTTCTTTTATGTTATTTTAACCTTCCTTTAAAGTTTTAAGCGGCCATTTTTACGTTTCTCTTAATTTAACAGGCATTTTGTAATTTCCTAATTTAGCTGAATTTCGTGACACAGCTCCTTCAAAGGTTATTAAATATGTCTTAAATAGATTTAAATCTTAGCGGAACATCAGCTGAATGATGTTTAATCAATATTTTTCGTGGTATCATAAATAGTAGAACAATTTTCTCGTAAAAAAGAGGCAAATCAATGGGTTTTTTTTTAATTTGCAGCATTTCCTGGAGTGGATCTTGGCATCTTGATAGATACATCAAGAAGCATCGGAGATAAATCTTTACAGCGGCTAAGGCAGAGATTTCTTCCTCGGTTTTTCAAACGCTTTAGGATTGGCAGGAAGAAAACGCGGGTAGCTGTTGTTACTCTTAACAGGAAGGCCAAAGTTGTACTGAACTTTAAAAGTCGTTCTTCGTTCAAAAAGGATGCACTTATCAGAAATTTGCAAACGATTCGGCTGGGGAAAAGGTTTGGCACACGCTTAGACAAAGGATTCAACAAAGTTCATGACAGCCTATTCTCCAGGAAAGGTGGCGACAGAGTGAACTACCCAGACGTGCTGGTTGTCTTTACAGACGGAAAGCAATTTCCTCCTATTATACCATTCAAAGAGACCTTAGATCACCTCAAGGTGTGTATCCTTATTAAGTAGTGAATAGTGATCATGAATCATGTATTCACTCGTACCCGATTTTAGTATTATTTTGCTTAATGAGACAAAGTACAGGGCTTAATTACCATAAAATTACATTAGAATCATGAATCACATGTATACCAATTTGAAATTTAAATTCAATGATTACGCGAGTAACAATTTTTATAGGTTTTCTAACAAGAGAGAATAAAGGGGATCCCCCATACACACCCTATTCCATAGGTAATTTGTCTAGAGTTATTTTTAAGACACACAGATCCCAAGGGGGATTAGACAACAGCCAATCACATAGCGTGAATGTGTTCCGCGAGGATGACCCACGCTCAGAGGCACGCGTCCTTCACGAATTGACGCAGAAAAAAATGGCGGAAGACTCGGAGAGCGATATTGCTATTCGTTTTGTCGACGAAAACGACTAAGGAGAGATTTCTGCTAAAGCGGTGTCAGCGAAATGGCAATTAAAAAAGAATCGCTCTTCCTCTCTTGTATAGAGCGAACAGTACAGCAGGGAAATCCTTAACACGCTGAATATTCTCTCAGGATCATTTATAATTTACAGTTTGAAGAGAGCAATTTCTGGTTTGATATTTATTCTTTTATAAGTCTTTTATTATTCAACAAAAATAACACTAGGCGTCCTACTTGCTTTATTGTACAAATGACCGGTTTCAATAGACCGGCGAAATTTCTCATTTTATTAAAGCACTGAGATTACGACAACTTCGAGTTAAACTGATTTGACGGGTTGTCAAAGAGTCCAGCGATAATCTTTTCCCAGGTGAGCGCCGACTCATTTCGCTTCAATATTGAGAAATGCTCTCGATCTCTTTACGTTTTCATTGCCTTTCACACGACATGTTTTGCATGGCGTTTAGTCATGCGAAACCTCCACGAAACATCCACGCACCGCGCGAGGTAACTTTATCCCGATTCTAAAAATAACTCGAGACGAATTACCTATGGAATAGGGTGTGCATGGGGGATGCCTTCTCTGTCCCCTTTATCCTCTCTTGTTTTCTAAGCATAAATAGCTGTTGGTTTAATTATTAGAAACTTAACCTTTCGACCAAACTGATCAATTATTATTTTTCCAAAATTAAAACCTGTCAATATGGTTCTTGTTTTTTACCACGAAGTGAATCTTTCCGTTGTTTGGGCCATATAGACCTTTAATATGTATGATAATTAGCCTTTCTGACCTTGTTTGAATGTAAGAATTATTTTGTATTGTGCACATCATATAAAAGGATATATTAATGGGCCGCCATTATGAACGTGGTTTATAATTATTTATTGGGGATTCACAACAGGGTTTTTTTGGAATCAGGGATTTTCCTTATTTGAAGGACGGAATTCGAAATCAAGAATTGTATTCGTTTAACTGAGGGTGAGTTTTGGGATTAAAAGTATGCGCAGGATGAGGGATTTGGGATGCCAGAAATAGCCATCGGGATTTAAGAGATTAAGCAAAATTTGGGTCGGGATGACGGGATGAAATAAACCCTATTTGGGGAACTCTTTGCAAATTACCAAAATAATACAACTTGAAAATACAAAATCGGAACCATCGTTACACGTCTCCCATGCGCACCGTATTGAAATGCGAACTTTCATCGTAGATTCATCGGGCTGTACACGTGCTGTTCGTTGGGTATGGACCTCCGAGAAAGATAAATTACAAGTTGCTCGATGCAATTGCTGCGCCTGGTCAGGTCATGACTTTAAATGGAAGGAGAACCATTCAAAAGCTGCGGAAGGCAGTTGAGAGTAAGGATTTAGTTTTGAAAGCAGGGACCAACGTAGCAAAATAGAAGTACTGGATCCTAACTGAGGATCTTATCAGCTATACGATTCAGTATAAACAATGAAAAGAAGTTAAGCTAGTTTTGCAGTTAGAAAGATTTATATTGCCAATATTTCGAAAGGAACTGCCTTTATTCTTCAGGATCTTAAGTCGCCTCCTATCCAAAACATTTCCCACCAAAGCTTGCGATTGGAAGCTCTCGTAAACGACCACCTAGCAAGCAACCGCGACCACTTTGGGTTGACGGTTTTATAATTTTTCATTGTTTTTAACCCCTTGAAAGCGACGACTTATAACGCATGGTGTGGTCTTGTTCGCTATATGTACTACGCCACTCAGAGTATACTGTCAGTGCAGAGAACAGCCATAATTTCTGTTTTAAAAGTAGATGTGTTCGAACCTTTCCTTGGAAGTTAACACCTGTGCGGCCACCTCCCGAAAGCGATCACTGAAACCTTCGACGGGAGGCTTAACTCTACTTGTATTCCCTCAACAGAGATTGATGGCCTTTACACCCCCTGGAGTGAGTGGTCGGTCTGCAGTGATACGTGTGGCAATGGTGTTCAGATACGAAGCAGAAGCTGCACTGCTCCACCACAGCGTAATGGTGGTATGGACTGCAGTCAGTTCGGACCGCCAGTTGAAGTCAAGCAGTGCATCCTAGGGCAATGCCCTAGAATACTACCTCTTCTTCGTAATATTCCTCGCAGTTTTCAGGTAAGTTCGGAAACTTTTTTCTTATTATTATTAACCTGCGAGCAGAGGTTCCTCCCTTGCATGGATTTTAGCATTCTCCTAGTCGTTCGTGTCGCTTGTCAGTCGCCTAGTTGGTTTGTTTGCGCCGCAACAGAAAAGCGACGCGAACGACTTCGTGAACGCTTTTAAAAAGCTATGCAAGAGAGATTTACCTCTGCCCACAGGGTGTTTTCTTACACTTTTTGAGCAAAAAGATTTTCATTTTCCTAATCGGATGACATCTCAGATATCTTCTCGCTGACAGCTGTTGCTTAAACATTTTTCCTTTGTACTCAAAGTTACCATCAAGAGAGTCATTTTATGAAACATATAGACTATGGCAACACCGGATAGGGCTTCTGTTCACACATAAAGAACATTGATTTCTGCCCGTTTTCATGAGAAATGTCTGCAATTTGATTGGCTTAGAGCAGTCAGTGGTATTTCAGCTTAATTTGAAATACCTACATGTGAAAATTAAAAACCTTCTACGGGTAGTAGTATAAACAAAAAAGCATCATTTGTAAGTGATATTTGGCATAAATACCAGTCGTGATATTTCAAAATTGTCTCAAATTTCACTCGTCTAACGGCTCGTGAATTTTGAAATATCACTCGTGGTATTTATGCCAAATATCACTACAAATCATGCTATTACCGTATACTAAATAAATTCGACTCTCCAGGTAGTCATGTTACTTTCCTAGTGAACATAACATGATCTACTCAGAGTCTTTAAAGTCCCGTTGAATTAAAACGCATCTTATCAATATCACACTGATAATTATTTTGTCCTTTTTGTCTTTTTTACAGGCAAAAACAGGGGAATAAAGCTGAACAAAAATGGCGTAAGACTTGAGGGAGATTAATTTTGGGGATCAAATTAATATTGGGACATTATATTGGGTGGTTTGAAGATGGGATATAAACTTTGCATGCATGTTAACCGTATGACCAAATAACGCGAAATCGATTCATTCCCTTTGCTAAACGTTTGACTGTAACTGCAAGACGTAAGTTCGTCGCATCTGTCCTGAACCCTCAAAAATTGCTGATACGTCAAATTAGAGAAGAATAAATCGCTAAAATAAATCTTCTCATTTTCGAATATTAGGTTTAATATATGCTAAGGCCATAATGCGTCTCTTTTTCAAACATTTTAAACAAAGGACCTTTAAATACAGTGAAACAAGGCTGTATTAGGCGGACAGCGTATTAAGCGGACACCGTCTATTAAGCGGAAACCAGCCGAAGTCCCCAAATTTATTTCCCTTATTTACTTTAAATGAAACGTTTATTAAGCGGACACCTCTATTAAGCGGACGCGGACACCTAAAAAGTACCTGAAATGGTCATTTCTATTGTTGCCAACCTGTGTTAAACGGACACTTGTAATTAAATTCCACCACCCAACACGCTAGACACCGGAAATGCGAAAGATTGCCTCGAATTGCCACACATTAAAAAACATGACTTGGCGAGCTTATTTGATTAGTTTTACTGTACAGTTTGTTTTCTATTTCGTTTTGTTTGTATAGAGCTTGTTTCACTCGTCTGATTTCTTCAAATTTGAGTTGCAATCTATGTTTATGGTATTATGATCAATTGGTCCACTTTGATAAAGAAATTAATGCAAACATACATCGTCACAGTCTCTGGGAGTATTCTAAACGTTTCCATTGTTCATTTGAATGGCATTTGACACCTCATATGACATTATCTATCGAAACTTGTACTAGGTGGACACCCTGTATTAAGCGGACACTACAGCATTCCTCGAGGGTGTCCGCTTAATACAGGTTTCACTGTACTCAAATGAAAGATTTCGCCACCCTTTCATGTACCTCAACTCGTGAATTCCTTACTCTTTGATATATCTGAAACCTGAAAAAAGGTACCCCTTTCGGGAGGAGCCTCTTTGCATGGGCCATTACAGGGATTACCCCCGGCTAGCAAAGTGCCTTATTTAGCACTCAACAACAAACTTCAGGAGACAAAAGGGAAATCTAGATGGTTATTTGTCTTATACCATATAATTGGCCAGCTTTCTATTGTATTTCTTAGACTCGGCCTTCTGTAGACTCAAGTAAGACAATCTTCAACAAATTTGAACCAAAACGTTTCCTGTCATTTTTCTATTTTTCGTCGTCTCAACTATGTTTCTAATCCTTCTCTATGAAATGCATACATGTAACTGTTTATCCTTGTGGTTTTCATCTAATGTTCTTAAATTGGAGGTTAAATAAAGGGTTTAAATGACATTTCTAGCGTGTGTATTGTTTTACTAAGTAAAAAAACAGTTGAGCAGAGAGGGGAATGATACCTGACATTGTTCTGACAATATCCCTCTCGCACACGTGACCTCAGGATCGGGATTCTGTTCACACATACAGCTGCACATTTGTACAGCTGTACATTCGTGATTTCGACGCGATTTCTGTAACGGAGCGCATCGACATTGCGATGATCTAGGGTTAATACAGGTCTCGCTGAATTTCGTCTTTTTCAACTTGTTTAGGCTATGTTGTTCATGCTATTCGGTATACTTTGAACGCGCTATACGGTACAGTTTAAAGCGCCGCCTGGTTAACTCAGTTGGCAGAGAGTAGTATCGGGTACTGAACAATTTGGAAAACGTTGATGTAGCAGCTGGTATAAGACTAACATATAGATTTAGCCACGAGTAAAAGCGAAGCCTCCGCATATATACCTAACTGTAAAAGCAAATAACGTAGAATAATCTTTAAGCCACTAAGGCGTAATCCTCCTTTTGAGTGAGGGCTGGGTGGTTAAGAAAAATATCCGAAATGAAAGAAAGCTAAATCTTAAGGTATTATGTTTACAGCAAAAAAAATTGTTTTAATCGGGACGATACTCTTTGTTAGTAGCCAATTTAGAGGTTACGATGTCTAGAGTCATTATTTCTGTGTAGTTAAGCAAAGACCTATTAAAAAGAAAAATTGGGCCGAGTTTTGTGTTCGCCGTAAGTATTTTTGTTTGTTTTTTTGGGGGACATTCCTAACCCATTTCGCTTACAAGTATTGAGCTATAAATTCCCTGCAGGGTCTCTTTAGTACCTCCTTACCTGTCTGTACGGGCGGACGGGCGGGCGTGCGTGTGCTGATGGCATAACCAAGTTATCTCGCATCGATTGGTTTCCATTTTCTATACTCAGGCGATGGAGGCTCTGATAAAATAAAATATTGTCTTGTCTAAGGAAAGGCCCAACCCGTTGCCCTTTTATAATATTTTAGGAAAAAAGGTACCCCTTACAGGGCCCAAAATAATGTCGAGTCTCCGGACGCGATGACCGGCCAAATTCATTTTAGCACGGTTAAGTATCGTTTCTGGCCGGTCAAATTTATGAAATAAATAACTCTTAAGACATTAAGGGCCCATGAATCAAAACTGGCGTTATATATTTCCAAAAAACAGCCTGTCTTTTGATATTTCGCGGGGTCGCGGAGCCACGAAATTCAAGAAGAAATCTTACCAAATACAAGACAATGAAACATAATAGGAACTTATCGCGGCTTAATTGCCGTAAACGTAATCACTACATGAGCGAACAACGTTTCAAAACTACCAGGTGTAAATTATGTTGCGAAAAACTGGGCCCTAGCCATGGTGTTAAAAGCTTTGGCACTGGCTCATTTCTGGAGCGCCTTGTTGTTAAAATAGCAAATGATTACCTCTGGTAAAAAAAAAAAAAACATTAAATCAGCGCAAAAATCGATCGATTTCTATTTAAATTTGGCCAGAAAAATCCCACGAAATCGGCCGTTTTTACCGATTGTTTTTTTGGCGAAGTTAGCGCAAAAATGTCCGCGAAATTCCCGCGAAATCGACCGATTTTTCCGTGAATCTGTCCCTGAAAATCCCGTAACCTGCGTAGCATTGCGGCATGGAGGCGCAAAGTAATAAAGGAAGTTGAGGACAGAAAACCTGCGAGGAGATTGGGGTGGGAGCAAAAGCTCGTTCTCGACAAAACTGCCACACTACGCGGGCTAAAAATTCTCCGAAACTTGACTTTTTTCTCGCGACCTAACAGAAGGCTGGAAAAAAGTTCTGCAATACACAGCTACTCTCTACGTACCTATAACAACTGAAATAACTGAAAAGTATGAAAAGTTAAATTTATTTCAGTATCAATACGATCGAATATGACCGGTCAACATGACTGGCAAGAAGAAAGGTCAACTCCCCAATCAGTCCGGACATTGTCCGTTGACCGGCCGATATTTTGAGCCTTGCCCTTACCTACACCTTTTGAACAAATGGTACAGCTTTCACACACTTGTCTAGAATGCTAAATACCTGTAAATGCGCCGTCTTTTTAATATAAATCGAATAAATCACTTAACTCGAAAGTTTTCATGTCTTTTTCACGGTTTTAAAAATACGCCTGATAGCCTTTTTACGTCTTTTCACAGCCCACAATGACAGACTGTCCCTACCCTTTCAGATACCTGATGCCGGAAAAAGGTACCCCCTTGGGGGCGGAGCCTCCCCGTATAGGGGAATACGCCCGTATAGGGAAAACCCCCAGGACCCATTTGCCTCTAAAGAGGTACCTACGTATGATATTGTGAAAACTCTCCTCTTCTCCTTGCGTCATCCACCAAATTGACAGTTAGATGTCCGGCTGTTGTTGCTCAATTTTATATTTTATTTTTTACTTATGGTAATGTCATATATGGATAGGATTTGACGTAGGGATAATATGGTCCATAGCAAATCTCTATATGGGAGCTTTCGTGATACTTCTAAAAGGGGGGCTAACACTTACAACTGTTTTAACATTCTGCCAAGAAATCATAAATAATGTATCAGATATCTGGCAAAAATTGACGGTTCCATTCTAGTTTAATACCCTAGGGCCAGCTGCATAGATCTTAATTTTGGACGTAAAAGCGATCTTTAAGCTCAAGTTAGTATTTTAACCGAGTCACTATTTTAACAACGTGTACTCAATATTTAACGGTTAAATAAAGGCAAGAGAACTCATTTCCGTTAAACAGAGACTAAGATTCAGAATAATTTCCTACCGCTGGCTGCTCTTCAATAAATTAAAAGTTTATTCTGCTTTGACGCAGAGTGGCCTTCACAGAGCCCTGTTACCCAAGGCGATCGCGCTTTTTGCTATGGCTGCCGCAGTCTTTATAATATGCTGCCACTGTTTACTTCTTTATTAGGGTAAAAACACTCCCTCCTCAAACTTTTAATACCTGGTGGCCCCTCAACAGCACTTCTTTTTGTAGTTTTACCAAAATAAGCAATCGAATTGTTCTCTGTCATTCAGAATTAATCCTTAACAGACTTGGCCGCTTAGCAGCAGTTTAGTTGCCATGTAATATCAAGAATGCTTCATAAGGTACAGATTATATATTTCACTTTCTTTTATACAGGAGTCTATACTTAGTCGGGAGATAAAAGGGGTGAAAACAGGTAAACAAGCTCTTGGCATCGTCGTTTTAGATTCTTCTTGGTGCTAATTTCCCATGTAAGTGTCTTCAGAACGAGATTTGTCGCTATATACTAACAAGAATTACTTTTGATAAGGTGTGTAAATCGTTATCCTAACGCAAATATTATTGAAACTAATGTGTAACGGTGAATTTACAGTATTTTGTAATTTTAAAATTAATTACTCTAACCTTTTATTTCACTTCGTTCAACATCATTAAACCATTGTGTCGGACTAAAATCATAGCCTATACATTGATTATTAACATTTGGCAAATTATGAATTACGTGCGAGGGGAAGGCTTTGCCACAATTCTCAGACTGGTAAAAGCTTTTTTTATTGAAAAATTAATTCTGCTCTTAATAGCAAATTAAATACGAACAATATGTTTGTGGTCGTCCAAAGCTTATCATCATCAGTACATTACTGGCGTAATGAGCGAGTCATACTGAGGAACCAATGCCAGAAAAGGTAAGTCAACTTCGCTCAAGACAAGAAGGGATTGAAAAAGCTCATGACGGAAGCTGTTCGGATAGATGTGAAAATGATCCTTGCACTGTTCCCTACATTATTGATTCCCTACATTATTGATTCGCAATCATAAGTCGGCGGAAAGTCTTAACAGGTGAAGGCATAGTAATAGTACCGGAGGTAAAAAAAAATCTATATTTAATGAATATAAAAAAGTTTTACTTTAACCACCATGCAGTACGGAGATTTAATAAGTTTTCTGTCTCTGTACCAGCAAAAATCTCTTTGGTAATGATTTAGACACGTAGCGGATTTGTTTCAATCAATGGTTGATTTTTCTCTGAGCAACCACGAGGAAAAGTGTAGACTTATTGCATTCACGTAAGTGCTAATAAGGTAGCTTCAATTTTGGCTTTTAGTGGCCAAATTAATTGAACTGTTTGCAAATGTTAGTGTCTAATTGGCTTTGAAGATGGGTTAGATAGTACGCGAGAGGAGACACAGCTAAATATGATTTGAAAATATTAAACGGACGCCGCTTTTTAGTTTAGCTGCATTATTTGAAGAAAACAAACAAACATACGCCCTAAAAAACACACAAATCAAGACTACAATCAACACATACAACTTTATCATCTTTGGTGCAAGCCTTGCAATAAGACTTAGTAGTTTCTTAGTGTTGCGGACAGGTGAAATCACCAAATGACGTAATACAAAAGATTGACACTGACAGAACAATCCCGGACACACCAACAATGGTTTCCGCGACACCAAGAAACACCCAATAAATTCATTTGCTCTTGTTTTAGAGGTAATTTTGTGGATTTGTGAAAGTAATCAGCGCTGTTCTTTCTATACACAAAACCTTTACTTACACTGTATAAAATCGAGAGAATTGAAAATTCAGTCAAACTCGTTAAGTTGATTGTGTTAAATAGATTGTTTTTCGGGTGAACGAACGGAACGAAACGAATTCGAAGCAAATCAAACTGGCGTTTGCCTTATGTTATAAAACTGATTAAATAGTGAGACCTATTTTGTTGAAGAATGCTGAAGACATCACCGGCAATGGTTTCATGATATCAGTGGCTTTTTTCAAGCAAATGTATTCCGTTATTGTTTATAATAAATGTACGTGTCGAAATTGCTGTTCTTTTCACGTTACACAATTGTCACACGCTACAGTCTGTCTCTAAATCTGGCGAGATATTTATAGCGACGGCCCTTTACTAGCCTCCGTAGCTGGCGGGATTGTCGTGCCCGGGGTACTTTTTCAATCTTCATGCGGCTTCGGCGCCAAAAAAGCACAGCACTCGCCTGCTAATCCCACCAGCTAGGCCGGCTAACCCTCAGCTACATCGTAGTCGTTCTTGCTGAGTAAACACCGTTGTCAAGGTACCAAGATGTCCCTTCAAATATCGGTAACAAAACGGTAAACCAATGAATTTAAAAAGTGCGAAAATAGCTTGAAAAACTGTACTGTACTACTGATAAATTAAACCCGCCTACTTTTTCCTTTCTGGTGGATATGATACAATGTACTTCGTCCAAAACCCTTGCGTGAGAATCAAGATACATTTTGTCATTAATTACATGTAAGTCAGCCAGTGGGGTTATTGAAGCCGTTTTCGTTGTTTGCCAGCTTCTGTTAGTATCTACAAAAAAACAATTACCTTAGTTTATTGTTGCTACCATAATGCTATAGCGTTTCACGCTTTGAATTTCCTCCCTAGTGTTAATACATCTTGTTAATTTACCAATTCCACAATAACCGGCAAAGAAAAAGTTTGCTTATTGAAGCGTTTAACAAGAAAAATTAAACTTAAAAGCGTTAATGTTTGCTCGACGTTTCGATTTTTCAAACATCATCCTCAAGAGTGAGAGATGCATGGTTTCAAAGTTGTTAAAAGAGTTGAAGTTTGAATAAATTAGATTGTATCCGTGAAAAGCCATGCTGCATTATTATGTAGATTTCTCAACAATTCTCACTCTTGAGAATGATGTTTGAAATGCCGAAACGTCGAGTAATGTTTTTAAGTTTTACTTTTCTTGTTAAAGACAATCAAAGTTGTAGAAGTAATGTATTTGGTAAAGGAATAAACGGTAGAAAGGCTGCCCGATCGCGAGACAATTTATATAACATTGCTTCATTTTACAGCTGTTGGGAAAAGGTTACAACTAATAAGTAATACGAAATTTAAATTTTGTCAGCTGTCATTTTCTTAGGTATGTTTACTTAATTCAGCTGTTAATTTCAGGTCATCATGGCTCGGTATGTGCCTTTTCTTGCTGTTGTAGCACTGGCTTCAACAATGTATGGTACGTTTAAAAATTAGTAGTTTAAAACTGATCAGCCACAGTTACTTTCACAATTGGTTGTCATCTAAAGTTATCGGTCAAACTTTTTTTCTCGTTTAAGTTTATTCATTTAATAGTTCTGAATGCATTACCTTTTTTGTTGTCTAAGGTGCTGTCAACGGACAAATTGGTAAGTGTTTAGTTTGGTAAAAATCAAATCATGAAATACGACACTTAAGATGTTTTAAATTTTTGGTTTTAATTATCACTCGATTACCTTACAATTGCAAATATTTTGATTGGAAATGGCCATCCCGTAGAATTTCAACACACATTCAAAGTAGCCTGCACACGAAACGGAAGAGGGTAGGAGAAAATCGGACAGGGGTGTGACAGGGAATTTTTACAAGGACATTGCAAAGCCGAATACGCTTTTATAAAAAAAATATATTTATAACTGACCAAAGCTAGGGATTAGAAATGGTCGGGCAGCGTGCAAAGAAAGTAGTGTCCGATAGCCCGGGGCTAGTGGATTTTGCTATCGGGCTAGTGAAATCTGTTTTTAACTTGTACGACGGGCAAGTGATGTTTTTTTTTTTGAGGAATTCAAATAACAGAAGAACTGTGAAACAATTCTGCTAGTCAAAAAGTTTTTTGGGGCTACTTGAAATGACTTCTGGGCTAGTAAATGCTAGCTTCAGCTTGCCCGAATGGCAAGCTGTAAAAACGATTTTCTTTGCACCCTGTCGGGGGAGCGCTAAAGTATGCCTGACACTTTTTTCATTCCTGTCTTTAATACAATTTAATTGGTGGATCTGTTTCCTTTTTTTGCTTTAAAACATGTTTTATAGACTGAGGAAAAATTTCAGCCCTCATTATTTATTGCCAAATGCACGTTTTAAGGGTATGCGCCGCGTGGCACGTAACACGAATGTTAGAACAGACAATTAACTCTGAGGTTTTTTCTTGGCCTCGTGTGTTTTTGATTCCCTTTACTAGGGTTAAAGCTCAGTGGAGATCTTAGGGATGCTCTTGAAGAACACAAAATTACTTCAGAGTCAGAGCTGATTCTCTGTTGCATAATTTACTTTAATTTTTTGTCTTAATCATATAGTTCAAAACGTTTGTGGCACATTATCATATTTAATGCTATTTTGCGCCTTATAAACAATAAGTTATTATTATCATTATTATTATTATAATTATTAATTATTAAACAAACTGGAAAAAGGTTTATCTCCCTTTTCCTTAAAATTATGACATTAAAAACAATTTAGTACAATCCAACTAGTGTCTATTATCAATGCTGCGTTCTGATTGGTACTAGTAGCGAAAAGCGCGGGCTTTTGGGGGCCAAAAACAGGATTGAAGTATAGCTTTTACCTAGCTAAATTTTTTTTATTCTCGATATTTTTGATCAACTAGTTGGATTTTACTTAAACAATTATTCCTCTCGCCCTCATGGCATCCGAGTCAATAGCCCATTCGGGCTCGAGGAATAATTGTTAAATATATATACGTTTTGCCTTTGTCATTTAGAGGATCCTTGCAGGAACGGAATTGATTTGGGAATCATTGTGGATAGATCACAGAGTGTGGGGAAGAGCAACTTCACGTTCTTAAAAAAAGCTGTAAAGAGTTTCCTGGACAACTTTACCATTACTTCAAAGGCAACTCACACCTCTCTAATCTTCTTTGCTGATAAGGCCGTTCAGTTGTTCAATCTGCGTGACTCGGCGTATCACAGCAATCAAGCTGTTAAAAACAGAATTGATTCTGTTTCTGGCAGCCTTTTTCCCGGTAACAGAGCGGACTTAGCGCTGATGAAAGCTCACGACGAACTGTTTCATCCAGGACAGGACAGGAAAAATCGGCCCAACGTGCTTGTGGTGTTCACCTATCGAAACACGGCTGCAGAATCAGCACCCTACAGTGAGACCGTTCCACCTCTTGAGGTAGCCGTCGCCATTGCTTACTATTAGATAAGTGGAATTAACCATCCTGGCTTGAAAAGTAAAGGGTCTAGGTACGATTGGCCTTAAAAATTTTTACGAAGATAGATTAGAAAGTAACACTGGCCTGCCTAGAAATGATTTATTATTATGGGCCGTGAAGTGAAATCTGTAGAGAAACCAATAAACTGATCTAATAATATAGTACACGCATAGATGCGAGAAGGTGAAAGAAAATTGAAACAGAGAAGATGTTCCATTTAAGGTTATATATTCATTTTTTTTACCTTTTTTTTGTTTTGTCGCGAAGGATATAGGTACCCATATTATTGCTGTTGGTATTGGAAACCAGATTGATATCAAAGAACTAGAGAAAATTCGTGGTGAACGTGGCTCCGCAATACAGTTTTCGGGTTTTGAGTCTCTCCTGGCAAAACCAAATGACATAGTAGCTGAAATTTGTGGTGAGTTCTTTAGGGACATTTTCTTTAAAAATATACTCTCAATAAGGAGTAGCAATCATGAAGTGTCCGTTTATAAATCATGTCAATAAAAAGCGACTAAATTTAAGGACGTTGGGAAGAAACATGATTAAATGACCGATCTCCACAAGCGCCTCTCTTTGTGATCTCAAAATGTAGTCGCGAATTTATTATTACAAATTTTAAAGAACATGATTTTTGCTTGATTTGAGTAGTTTATTGTTCTGAACCTACCTGGAGCCAAATAAAACTATATTTCAGTTTTAATTTATAACTGTACATGTAGCTGCTGTTTCAGATTTTGTACATGACAAAATGTACTTACCAGGGAGATTTAGAGAGAGTTAGTTATCACTGCCCACGTTCCCTTCCGTTATTCTATCGAAAGAAACCCCTCTCTTTAAAATACTTTTTAAAGTATTTTGGAAAGTATGCGAAGATTTAGATTCCAGGTGCGGTGTCACGTAGGGAAACACAAACACATCGGAAATTTAAAGCAGAATGCCCAGCAAAGGTTTTGAAATGCGTTTTAACACACACAAAAAAAGTCTGGAGTAATGAAGTAACTAGCAATCTGTGATATCAAAGTTTTTCGTCATTTAATGCGATGGAAGTAGTTTTGTAAATCTCCTTGCATGCAATGGTTTTGAAGTTTTATCACTTCAAATAAAACGTTTGTAAGGAGCTCTGCTTTTTGGCTTGGCTAAATATTTGACCACATACACAATCCTACTAGCCTTTTAGAATTTGGAGCAGAGTATGGCGTCCGAACGTTTTTATAATTTTATTGTTTTTTTTTCTTTTAGTTATAAATGGTGGGTACACCCATTGGTCAGAATGGTCAGAATGCAGCGCAAGCTGTGGTGATGGAACCCGGATGCGTTTCAGAAACTGCACAAACCCCAAGCCAATGAGAGGAGGCTCAAACTGCGACAATATTGGACCAGCAAAAGAATTTGAAGCCTGCGATCTTCCTAATTGTGTTGATTGTAAGTATCTAAGTACTTGCCACCCATTTGTGTCGTTGGTTAGCTATTTTGATAAGCACTGGCAAGAAGGGGCCCTAGAGGTGAAAGGTTCCCTTAATTTTCGCTTAACTTTCGTCAGTAACAATTTGGCGGCGAAACTTTGCTTAAAGTCGTAAGTAGAACATTTACGCATCTTAAAGTCGAGCTCAATTCAGGAAAAGGTCAGGCTGGTAATATAGGTAAGTCAGATGTCACCTATTGATGGCAATGCCAACCGAAAAAGAAACGCATTGGCTCTTGAAATTCTTTAATTGGATTTTTGGTTTAATACATTTGTTGAGCTCTTTGTTGAGCTACACACCTTTTCTTTTCTCTTTTTCTTTTCTTTACTTTTAAAAATAATCCATTTTTCATTCAGTACCCTTAACTCACATGGTATACCCTATAGTGCCAGGAAGCCTATAGTGTAAAAGCCCCCGGCTTCTTTATAGACTTCCTTGTCATTACCACTTTAAACATTTAATTTTGCAAATAATTTAGCTAGAATAGTGTCTATTATCTTTAATGTATTATAAATTTCTTGTATATTGCTGTTGCATTCTTGTGTGGTTAATGGCAAAATAAATAAATGAATGAATACTTGGAACATCTAAAAAACAGCCTTATTCCGTTGGGGACAGATTTGTTCTTTTTATTATGTTTTGTTTTATTTATTCATCGACCTTAATTTTGACTGGATAACCCGATAAAAGTTAAAATACCATGCATATCTTCATATTTTCCTACAACTTGTCACTCTGGGTCTTTCCTTTTCATTTAAGCAATTGATGGTGGGTATAGTCGATGGACCTCTTGGACCCAGTGTAGCGATAACTGTGGTGGAGGAATGCGCGTTAGATTCCGATCCTGCACTAACCCATCACCGTTCGGAAAAGGCAAAACATGTGATTATATCGGCGAACCACAAGAGACAATTGCATGTAACATAAAGAAATGCGGTAAATATACAATAACTAGATGATTTACTAAAAAGGGTTATTGCTAGGTGCAGCTTTTTAGTTATTTTTACAGACCTTGAAAAATAAGGACCAATTATTCACTGTAAATTATAAAGTGCATTCATAAGTTTCCAATACAAAATTACCAGTCATTAGGCAAGAATGATTTAGACTTACATTAATGGCAAATGGCAAACGCCATTCTGGTTGCCCTAGACTGACAAACTGTCCGAGCTCAAACAACAACTTCAGCAACTGTAGCTAATTTACAAAACTTTGAATGAAAGAACAGACGAATGAAAAAAATAAATATATCAGTGAATGAACGAACGAACGAACGAACGAAAGAGAACAACGAATTGAACAAATGGATGGTGGATGGAAGGAAAGATGAATTCATGGGTGAATGAATGGAAAAAAGAATGAAATGGAGAACACAATATATGGTGTTAATTAAGGAGAAGACAGAGGTGACTGTTATAGGCGAAGCTTTGAATGTCAAGGGAAGACAGTAAACATATAACGTCATTTTTTTTATCTATTTTTCTATTAGTGTCATCACCGTGTTCCAAGGGTATTGACCTGGGCATCTTGATCGACCGATCGAATAGCATCTTAAAGAGCAACGTCCAGCGCCTTCTCAAAGTTTTTATGCCTTCATTTCTCCAGAAATTCAAAATATCCAAAAAGAGGACTCACGTTGGTGTTATAATGTACGATAAGAGTGCGAAGGTTCTTGCACCTTTTAATGGGCCTAGGTCCAACAATAAGGGGAAGGCGAAGGCCTTCATCAGAAGTCTTGATCCATCAACTGCCACCCACACACGTACTGATAAAGGGCTGGTGTCCGCATATGATCAGTTATTTAATAGGAAAAAAGGTGATCGAAGTAAGAAGCGAAACGTCCTTATAACATTTACAGATGGTCGGGCTTGGCCAAGGAGTCGCATTCGACCATTCTCGAAAACGGTGCCTCCGCTTAAGGTATGTCTCCTGTTTAACCAGACTCCATTTTAAGCTGGTGTTTATCAAACTGAATAGTTGATAATAGTTACGTTTTCCAAGCATGCAAGCCTGTCTCATTTCGATGTCCTTTGAAAATAATGTAAATGCCGTTGGATGTTATCTGTTGCGAACAATAGTTTGTCGAACTGGAAATTATGGGTAGCAGCAATTATATATTCTGTTGCTCGCATTGACATGTTCTAATCATAATTTGATTTATTCTTCAGTAGTGCGGACCCGACAAAATTACTAGAAGGTTCCGGTTCCGAAATGCTTCTGGTTTCGACTTTTCATCACAAAGAAAAAAACGTAGACACATTTCTGTTTGTAGACAGGGAAACATATCAGTGGAGAATATTAATCACTATTGTGAAAGGAATTGGCAAATCAATAGAACTGATAAAAAGAGCTAATTGCAGCAGCAATACCGGAATATAAGCAACAATCAAGATTCAAAGAAAGATTAGCCTGTTCCAGGCTCAAAGGCTCCAAGATAGTAATGTGTAAGGATCACGAAAACTGATGCAAAAACGGTTGCCCCCTTCTTCAGATCAAGCTCCTCCTATTTTCGCTTGGATTTTGTTCACGATCCCTTAACTATCTGTGGGCCTGGCGCAGGTTAAGAAAGATTGATAATCTCGATCCTAAGGTACAATCGAATTACCTACCTTTCTTTTCTAATCAATAGATAAGGAAGAAGTGCCATATGGTTGCTGTTGGCTATGGTGTTCCTAGCAAGATAAATATGACACAACTTCGAGAGATTGGGGGAGATCACGTGGTCAAAATAAGCAATTCACTAAAAATAAAAAGCTATGTGAACAAGATAAAAAATGCGGTCTGCAGTAAGTGATGTTATATATATTGAATTTTAGCCCTCTTTAGCCATAAGGCCAGTACATGCAGTCCCTTCATCGTAACATGAACAGGAGTAACTTCGACGGCATTTTTTGCGGTTGTAACAAGCTATAAGGAAGATTATCGACTGCTAGGCAGTGTCTATGCAAGAAATAATATAGTTGTTTATATAGTTGTTGTTTAGTTGACTTCGACAAAAGCCAAAAATTCTTCATCCTTGTGTGTTTTAGCTGACTTGGTCAAGGACGCCGTTTTACCATGCGTTCTAACTCCTGTCGTACTCTACAAAATATTTACTGAGAACTGAAAAAACAAAACAAAACTTCAGAAAGCCCCTGCTATTTTGGGAATAAATTTTAAAGTACTAGTAATGAAGTTATGAAGCTAGTTTTTACAAATTCTTGTTAGTTGCAAGGTTATTTACTGCTGTATACTGACCCGCCACACCGTGATTTCAAAAGATAGTTCTTTTTGTTTTTATCCCCAAAGATTCAGTCGAGCCAGCTTTTCGAAGAAATATTACAGCTCTCTTTGTCTCATTATAGATGAAATTGAACCGCTACAAATTTATATCCACATATTCACAAACAGACAGATATAGGGAATCATTTCATTTTAAAATTTTTGCATCAGAAGATATTGATTCGGCGCGTGACATTGCTAAAATGAAGACTAACACGCTCAGCTGGCATGGCTTCCTATTTATATTCAAAGATCTCTTGTTTCATTTTGCACTGTTATATTATACTCTGTTAAAAATGTTGTTACGCTTTGCTTTAAAATCGCATTACATTTCGCTTAAAATCAAATTTTGAAGTTCAATTTTGGGGCAATTGCTACCTCTTTTCGTATACTTACATGAAGCAGAAGGCTCAATGATCAACTTTATTTTCCTTATAGGAATTGATGGCGGATACAGCGAATGGAGTGTGTGGTCATTGTGTAGCACCACATGTGGCGCGGGTGTTAAGGTTCGTAGCAGAGTCTGTAATTCACCTGTTCCTACTCGTGGAGCAGAGGATTGCAATAGATTGGGTAGTCCTTATGAAACATATGAATGCAACGAGGGAGAATGCCCAAAAGGTGCGTATAACATTAATTTCTTCTTTCAACAGTTAAGCCATTGTATATGAATTCTTTCTAAAACTTGTCCGTCTTGCAGCGTCTTTTTTTTCAATCTGTCTCTTTTCACTTGAGTTCTTCTTAATAGTATCGTTATTATTATTATTATTATTATTATTATTGTTGTTGTTGTTGCTGTTGTTGTTGTCGTTCTCGACATTGGGCATGGAACATTTACACCTTTTAAAAGTCTTTACAAAAACAGGCAGAATGGGAAAGGAATTCCTTAAGTATCATACTCGATAAGCGGAGCTGATTTCCGTCTTGAAAAGAGAGCAATAAAAAAATGCCAAAAATATTTCGTGAGTAAGAAGCCGAATTTCAGTTGCTTTATTACAATCTGCAGTCCTTTGTCTTAGAGAATCTAGGGCAAAAAGAAGAGCTCAACGTTACAATGAGAAGGCTGTCGTCGAGATCGAAAAAGCAGAAGGTGCCATTAAGGGATATAAGGAAACGTTTATTAACATGAATCATCTTCTGATATGACTTCACAAACATTGGTTTGTTACCAACCCAAAATAATCCATCCTCAATGACACATCTTAGAAAAGATTTTTACTGCAAACATTCTTTATTAAACAAGTGGTCTTTATTTTGTTCTTTTTCTTTCGTGCTCACTTTTAGCGCCAAGTCCTTGTAAAACCAAGAAACAGGACGTTTGCTTGATAGTAGATGAGTCATTGAGTGTGAAAGTCCCAAACTATGTCCGCATGAAGACCTTCCTCACGCAATTCATCTATCAGTTTGACCCTCACACGCATTTCAGCATCATAACATTCGCAGGGAAGGCAAATGTGCGGTGTAAATTTTCTGACAAACGGTGTCAGACCGCTGATGGTACGTACGACTTGATTTCCGAGATTCCAGACAAGCTTTTCTATGGCACTTATACTGACAAAGCCTTGATTGCTGCGAACGAGATTGTCTTCACGCCTGAGAACGGCGACCGAGCAGACGCTAAGAATGTGGTTATAGTTATAACTGACGGGAAGACCATGAAGGGAGCTGCGCCTTTCAACGTCACCGTTCCTCCACTGCGGGTTTGTCTAACTACTAGAGAGATTAAGATTCACGTTTACCGTAAACGGCAAACGTCAGACTCAAGTCGAGAATTTCTCTGAATAGAAAATAAGTAAGTAAAAACAGTCCCGAACGATTCCTATGGGTAAAACTGGCATAAATTTTTGTGTTGAAGCAATAAACAGGAAATAAAGGGGAAAATTTGGTCACGTCAGTACAAATTTACGTCTGCCGTTTGGCGTAAACGTGAACCTTAATCTCTCTACTATTATGATCTTTTCATAAATGATTTCAAACAGTAAATATCTGAAATCCAATGCTTCGTTGTTACTAATCCACAAAGCTAAAGCCAGAATGGTCGTTAACCATATATAGCTGATTCAATAAAGGTTGAATTGGGCATTGGGAATTGCATATTGGGAAGCTATTGTATGGTGGTCACTCAAGTAAATCATTGCATTGTTCAATATGCGCAAACGCCCAAGGCAATTTCCAATGACCAATTGCCTAAACAACCTTTGATTTAGCTAGTGTATACACCTATTTCAATGAAGATTGCATTGGAAATGGTGCTTTGGTCTTTGAAAGCCATAGTTTTGTGGTCACTCAAGCAAAGCATTGCATTGTATTCTGCGTTTCAATGACCAAATGCTAAACGAACGTTATTGAAATAGGTGTATCTAGCCGCCATTTCGTTCCCCAGAAATGTTTGGAAAGCAGCTGAATTTTGTGTATTAACTAACAATTATCTTACATATTTTTTTCACCCGCTGCAATAAGGACGGAAAAAATGCAAAAATGATAGCATTTGGTATAGGTCCATCTATTCGTGAGCAGGACCTCAATGAGATAGCTGGAGAGAAGAATTGGTTCTACGTGGACGATTTTGCTTACATGAAGGAACGAATTCCAGATTTACTGAAGACTGCATGCACTGAGACTACCCTGTGAGATGCAATAGGTATACTCTCAACGAATGGGTAAAGAACTTGTAAGTATTTAAAGTAGAAGTAAGTGTGAACTGAGTTAAATGTAATAGATAGCGTTTTAAGTATCTAATATTAGTAAAGGCTGTTCAAATTAAAAGGGTAGCTTTCAAGATCAAGGTTACCGTGAGACTCCAAAAAAAAAAACGTGAACAGCAGAAATATCTCTCGTGTGTTGCAAGGAAAAATGCAACTAGGAATGGAAAAAAACTGAACCACAAAAAGCAACACAAATCCTTTACAAGTGTATGGTTCTTTAGCTTGCGTGCATGTCCTGACCCTTGCTGTCTCTGATCACGACACAAATTATCATACAGTCCACACACCGGTTCACTGTAATCTTTGTTTAAAAGTAATGATAAGGCACTGATGACAAAGAGTTAGGCCTATGTTTAAAGAAGAGTCTTAACTCATCCTTGGTGGAGTAGTCTTGAGGAAGGTGTCTTTTTGCAGTGGACTGGATAAGCGTAATAAGTGCGACAATAATTAACTTCACATTCCTTTAAAGAAATCTGTATTTTTGAAGAAGACCAGGACGATATCGAAAAAACGTAAGCAAACAACCCGTCACGTTTGTCTCACTAAATTTTCTTGCCGTTCTGACTCTCTGGCTTTCCGCCTTACTATTACGTACGTCTACATCAACGTGTGCAATCCCTCGAGGGTCGATTCGCGAGTCCGCTGTTGTTTATTTTATACGTAAATGATCTTACCTTACCTCAGCTCTACTCAAGGCCCATACAAAGTATGCGAAATATATCCTTAACGTCCGCTGCCGAAGATACTGACACCTGAATTCTGCACCAAACAAAATCCAGAAATGGCTAAAGGTGGATAAGCTGACCCAAAGACCAAATACAAATTGAAACCAATACATGCCGATAGGGAGTCGCCCCAAACTTCAACTAATATCAGATAATTTCTCGGTTAAGGTGAATAAGTAAACATACCCATAGATAGGGTGGCTGTTTATAAATCTCTTGGAGTCTTTTTGATGAGTGGTTCTAATGGAAAGCACATATTGAGCAGATTTAAAAGAGATATCGGCGTATAAGTGAGTTTCATATTACTGTTACGCGTTAGTAAACTGTAATCTCCGAGACCTGCTTATACGATCTACATGTATTTACATGGTTAACCTTCTTGTAATAACTATTATACTATAGCATTCAAATATTTTGAAATAATTCCACTTTTCTTTTTGCAGTTGTTTAGGCGGACAGAAATAGAGGGACGCTGACAAATAGAAGACCAAAAACCACGCTTTAGAAAACTTTAGAAAACTGGATTGCACTGAATATCCTTAAATAGATAGCTAAACAATAAACTCAATGGTGAAAAACAAGTGTCATTTTTTTTCCTGTTTTGATCTACATGTAAGTTCTCTACATCTTGAGCTATAATGTTTTTTTTTTTCAGTCCTTGACAAAAGCGACAGGGAAAAAAATTATCCCCCCCCCCCACGGGGGTTTCACCCACTCCGTGGATTCCGGATTCCAGGTACTGTATTCCAGATTCTTGGTCAGTGGAACTTGGATTCCAATCTTAAGTGGGATTCCGGATTCCTATGCACAGGATCCCTGATTTTCCACTCCTCAATTTCCGGATTTCGGATTCCACAAGAAAAATTTCTCGGATTCCGGAATCTGGATTCCCAGCCTTACATTGAACACCGAAGTCAAAGCTATGACCTTTAAGTTATTCAAGTCCAGAGGCTCAACTGATCAAGGTTGAGGTTCTAAAACTGCTATAAAACGAACTCCGTTCTCTTAGTTAGGTCTGTATCACTGACTGAAGCAATAACATTTATTCACCTCAGTGTCGGTGGCTAGTGGTGGTTAAAATTTGCCGAGCCGCAAAGCATACTATTCTAATCATGAGATAATTGAGCACATACTAATACTAATACTATACTTATCATGAGATAATTTAGCACTAAAATGGAGATTTTTAACTCATTTACTCCTTTCAATGATTACAATTTTGGCGCGCAATGACCTAACGGCCGTCGCGTTTTCTTGCTGACAAATAAAACTTTTTGAAGGCATTTGTGTAGCTTGAAGATCAAGATCGAAGAAAAAGATTAGTGCATTATTTAGGCCTTAAGTCTGGTAGAAATGCGTCTCTGGATACCAACGGACGTACAAGAGGGGGTGGATGCCAGCCCCACCTAAGGTTTTTCTTAGTTTTTTCCTAGAGGATAAAACATCGGCACCTAACGTTTTTAGTAGCTGTCTGTTTATCCCTCACACACATTTTGAGATAAGTTCATTGATGGTCAGTTGCTATTCTCACGAGATATGACGTCACAAGTAGCGGGTGGTCAAGCCATTTTTTGGTGAAAGTACATGTTTTTTCAACATCTTTCCACAATAAAAGCAAATCTGAAGGCTAAAATCATGCAAATTGCTTATTGAAGAGCTATTTTTCATGTAAAGCACTAATTCTTGGTAAAATCCAATATGGCAGGCAAGATGGCGACCCTGTTGGTGACGTCACAGGTCTCCAGCAGCGTCACCACCCATAAAATATACCTCATCTTGTTAAGAAGATCAAAGGCTTTTCACTAAAGGCAAAAACGTTTCGAAATACTGCAACGTATCAAAAACTCCGGGAGGGGTTCCATCCACCCCCCCCCCCCTTGTACCACGGTGGGTGTATGAATTTGCGTGAACGTCCGATGGTTAATTATCTCCGTGACAGAAGCGGTACGAGCAATAGTATTCTTTCAATGCTTTCTCTCAGCTTTTTGCACGTACACTTGCCATTTCAAAACGAGTAGGGTGACCCCCATTTTAAATTTCAAGATTTTTATAAAATATTTTTTCCCTAATAAGAAAAAAAAGGGCAGAAAATAATGTTCACCTTTTTGCTAATGTTACTAAATTGTACTGATCGAGGCATAGCAAGTCTACATTAGAGAGTACAACAAAAGCAAAGTTATTTAAGGAGCATTTTTATGGTACGTAGGTGGATAAACAACAGAATGGTTATCAATTTTGGTACAGTTGTGAAAGTACGTGCGCGTAATACTTACCTTTGTTTAGCTTTTGTTTGAGAGTAGAGCTCAACCTTCGCTCTGTAAATACCCATGAAAATGAATAAGGCCGATTTATTTATTAACAAATATTAGTAATTTAAAATCAGTTTTAGCTTTGAAAGATTGCAATGAGTTTTCCTCTTATGAAAACTGACAACGAATCATACAAAAATTTTCCTTTTTAAACTCGCAGTAGGGGCGCAGCTGGTCGAGGCGGGTTGCCACAAATAAAAACTATGCGAAAATTAATATTATATAACTCTGAATATTACAATATATATTGTACACAGTACAAGTAGAAATAAATTCAAGACTTGACAGTTCCATGCTGGTAAAAGAAACATAATTGCCTTAGTTTACACGGTTTGAACTTATTTGGTCCGACAACTTGTGACGTCAGTTAAGAAAAGACGACGTAACAATAAAAAAAAGTTTCTCGGGAGAAAAATTCAAACCGCTGCATTGGGCAACTCATTGCTGACCTAGCCGAGATTAGCTTACGTGTAGCTGCAGTCTTGAGTCCGATAATTTTATACATTGTGTCAAATTATCGGACTGAAGACTGACGCTTGCGCGTTCACCTACTCTCATGGATGCGATATTTAGCTATATTGATTGTTTACGCAACAATTTCTTAATTACTGTTTATCATTTTCGCGTGGACGACAACCATAAAGCCTGTATGCGTTACGAACTAATAAAAAACGGACCCGTGTGAACCTACGTTCTTCAGTGTTCTGTACTGTATATGATGCTGGCCAACACAAATAAAAATTAAGTAAATCAAATAGATAACAATCATAGTCTTTTCTCATTTATTCATAGATACTTATTACAATTTTTCAGCAGCCCCTTCCTCCACAGGAGTTAATATATGTAAAGGGCTTCTTTCCGTTTTGATATTTGTTGTGTTAAGTGTTTGTCTTGAGTTTTATAGTATCATAGCAACACAGGTGAACCACACAGAAAGAGAGTAGGGCTAAAACACTCAATTTAATGCAAGTAATGGTTTAACTCGCAAAAAATGCAAAAAAAATTATTTGCCAGCGGAAGTATAGTTTGTTTGATAATTAATAATCCCTCCTAAGTGTTTAAGAAAAGAGCAGATGACATAAAAAGGTAAGCGATAATTTGCTAAGAGTTAAATGTTTTGCTCTTTTTCATAAAATTTATTTGCCCCATGGTAAATTTACCCTCAACTGCATGTGAAATGCGCCGGCGGCATTGTGAAAGTTAAGAGCATCAGGAAGCCAGGAGAAAATGCAGTTAAGCGGCGAAAACCAAAGTAGCAATGACTGCTATCACTGAATGGAGCAGATGAATAACGGATTGAAGTTCTATTTCACTGATACAGCTGTACATGAAGTAGAAGCAAGTCGACTCAGCAGAAGACCAATGAATAGCTACATAAAACAAGAAAAACTCATACATTAAATAAAACTACTTGTGTAGTTTTCAGAAGACAAAAAATGTAATCTAAATGATGTTCCAAAGAAAAGGGGAACATATAATAGTAAAACAAGATCCTGAGACTAGTAATTGATCGTTTCATTAGTAATCAGAATGGAGGGAAAAGATATATTATACCCGGTCCAGGGACCCGTTACGCGAAACTTTCCAATTATTAACGGGCCCGGAAAGCCGAACTGCTGTATTATCGAAGCCTCACTAGTTTAAAAGATAATATATGATAAACCTGTCAGTGAACAAAACAAAGTCGACTGGTTTGTTAGTTAGAATCCACAGTTGTATTCAATCCATTTAGATTTTGATTTATATTTTGATTTCTGGAGTACGTTTCTTAAAGAATAAGAACAGATTCTTTCTCTGATGGTAACATACAGCGAGGCCAAAAGATCCTGATAGAGAAGTCAAAATAATCTTAATTACCTTGTTTATTTCAAACTCATTTAAGAAAACACGGA